ACATTTAAAGATTCAGAAACTAGATATCATTCAAATCATAAAGAGTTATTGACTATTAAAAATGGAATAAAAAAGTTCAATTTCTTTTTATTACCAAAACATTTTTAGAGTCAAAACTGACAATATTCAAATTAAGGGATTTATTTTTAATAAATTATCTTTAGCACCAAAATATCAAAGATTGAACAGATGGCAAATTTTATTTGCTGAATATGATTGTGAAATTGAACATGTCAAAGGAATTAATAATTGTCTTGTAGATTTCTTGAGTAGAGAAGAAGCTAATGGATAAGTTCCTGCAACTCCAAAATAAGGGAAAATACCTTATTTTTTAAGGTCAAAAGAAACTCATTTAAGGCAATAGCCAAATAAGAAAAGGCCAAGCAAAAATGATCAGAGGCTAACATATAATGGATGAGAGCCATAACCTCATTTAGTTTATTAAAAGCCATATGTTATTGAGCAAGGGACAAGATGCCTTTGAAGAAGTAAAGGGCTGGTAGAAAAATTAATGATATCTGAAGTAATTACTATTGTCAAAATCAACTCAAGAGAATCTAGCTAGATGGCAAAGAAAAGCTCCCAACAAGAGCTAAAAGAAAAATTTGAACAAGATGATCCTTCAATCGGGTTACTTGGAGAAAGTTAAGAGAAACTTGACTATTATGTTAAACACTTTCCCCCAGAAATATCAGCATCTCAAGTTGAAAAATTAGCAATTCAAGATGCCAAAAGCCATAACTTTTGACCTAATTACTCAGGGAAAAAAAGAAAGTTATAATAATAAACACCTTGTCAAAAATGACAATGAGTGAAGAATATCTGTAGGAATACCACAGAGTCTGTAAAATGGCATATTCAACGAGGTCCACTGAGAATTGCCATCCTATCCATAAAGGGATATCCTAGAATTAATTTTATGTAGGGTGCAAACCCAAAAGCAATAAAAGAATTATTCAATTATGGTTTTGTAAATTGTATTTATCTTTGAAAAAATTATGAAGAAGTTTTAGAACTTCTAGAAGTTATATGCCAAGGAGTGAAAGCCTTCAAAACTGGCACCAAAGCTCGAGGGGTAGTACTTGCCAAAATCTATTCTGCAGCACTAGAATGGGAGAAATTTCAATATTTCCCTAGTCATCATATAGTTCAAATTGAAATTCAATCCAAGAAGATCAAGGTAGAAGCAAATGAAGACCATATTTTTCAAGATTTTGAAGAATCTCTTTGTGGGATTGAGTTCATCCAAAAAAGAAGAGCTCTAGGATTTAAGGTTTTACTTTAGACCTTTGGTAGAATGATAGAGATGAAGAAGACATGGACATATGGCTTCTCCAATGAAATCTTAGTAGTATGCATTGGCGCAAGATTAATGACAAGCATCAGCTTGTTCAAAATAAACTAGAAAGAAAGGAAACTCTGAAAATTTGGTCCCAGCTAGTCAAGTAGTCTATAATGGACTATGCAAGCTGTTAAAGGATGACAATCATTGTGGTTTCTATTACAAAAATGAATCTACAAAAGGAAAAGCTAAAACAGCATGTGAGGAAGGAACAATTCCCTTAGACAATGAATTGGATCTCATCATCTTCTAAAGAATCCAATGCAAAAAGATGTAAGCTCTTATGTCACTAAAGAGAAATAAGAGTGTTGGCAATATTCCATGTGATTTGCTTTAACAAAAGCAAGAAGTAAGACTGGATCACCAAAAAATAATGTAAACATTAAACGTTAGCAATGACGAAAGAAAAGATTCCAAGGAGTGTTATAAAAGGCTTTCTATAAGCTATAACAGGTATCGGGCACTTGAACATCTAAATACCTAACCTGAAAGCTTTCTCTTATACAGTTATAAACACCCTTCAAGAGGAAAAGGAACTTTCCCTTTCTCTTCTCAGAAATAAAAACATGTTTTAAAACAATTCTTGTGTTTTTATCCCTCTTTACATCCATCATAAAATATAATGAGAAGAATCCTTAAAGAAACTTAGGTAGCAGTGAAGTCACTTGTCTTGTCTGAATACCCATTGTAGTATGATTTTGGCGTTGAAGGTTGAACAAAGGAAGCATTAGCTTGATTGAAGGCTAGACTAAAGGATTTTCAGGTAAAATTCTAACTCATTTATTTTATCATGCGGAAGCAAGGTGGGCATAGAGACAACGTTATTATTCTTTAACATTAGATTATTTTTTGAGATTATAAACGTTAGGGAAATAGTACCTAACCTCTTATATAGAAAAGTGCATTTTTAATATCAACTCATTATACTCTAAGATACTCTATTTTGTTCAAGAAATTGTTGTAGATAAGAAAGTTTATAAGCAAAAATGCGAATATTATATAAATAAGATAGTAAAACTTTTAGAAAAAATAAGTAATATTGAAGATAACTATCATCTATTCAAGAATCTCAAAAAATTGAAGTAAACAGTAGTAGATTTAAATGAAGATCTAAAAATATTAGAAAGGCTAAGCAAAGATTGTCTTTGTTAATAGCCTAATAGATATAATTCTGCGTTTACTAAGCTTAACATACTAGCTACTCATTAGTTAGTAATAGTCTGAGTTAGGTTTTGAAAACCCATAAGAAATATGGTATCAAAGCCAAAAAATAATGTTTTTAAGAATAGAATTAAGAAGGCAAGATTTTATGATCAATAGTTTGATATCATAACAAAAATTATAGTAAAAGAAGGAATGATACCCTATAGAATTGATGAGTTACTATGGGATAGATATGTCTATAAAGTTTGTAGAGTGTCAGCTCTAGAAGAATTAAAAAATTTAGCAAGATAAGAGTAAAAGCTGTTTTTACAACAAATGTAAATTTAAGGACTAAAAGATCAAAATAAATATAGTTAGAGGACTAACTACTCTCCTATAGAATAGGAAGATTTCCATTAAAAATAACGAATTAGATGAAATTGAAATGAATTTGAAAGATAATAGATAGGATTAGAAGAATTCAAAGATAATAGATGAAATTGAAAAAAATATGAAAGTTAATAGATGATTTGTTAAATTAAGCCTTTGTTTTATTTGCTTGGCTTGAGTAAATGTTGTAATGGGCTTGGGCAAGGATTGAATATGTTGCATACATGGATTTTGCGCTTGAGCTTAAGTCCATTGACAAAACTTAGTGTTAAGCACACATACTTGGCAACCAAGCCCTCAAACTCCACAATGAATGCAAATCAGCTCTCTAATCAGATATATGGCAAAACCATTTCATAAGTTTTTAAACATATCCCATTCTAGCATATAGCCCCCTAAATTAAAAAAAAAAAGAAGCAAATAAGCCTTTGAATTGTGCAAATTGCAACAAATTAGCCTTTCATTAATAGATCAATTGATGTGACAATTAAAAGGAAAGCTTGGAATTAATGTATCAATGTTGCAATTAAATTGAATTAATCATTTTTTAATTATTAGATAAATGTGTATTAATGACATTTTTCTTTTATTGGCAACGTTGGTTAAGATGGGGTTATTGTTACACCCTAAATAGTTAATGTTACACCTTTTTAACATAATTGCTTAGTATATCCTCACATTACACTTTTTTGAAAAGTTCTACATTTTTTGTTTTTTAATAAATTAAAGGGTATAATAATTAAGTAAGATAAAAAGGTAATGTGTTTGACTATAAAGTAAAAACTATTTAATGAGGGAGGACCTTAGCATTGGGGGCTCTACTCCCATCAAACAATTTTTATTTTATGGTTTAAAATAGTGTAGACGGTAAAACAGTGCACTTTTAATAAAATACAAATAACCATTATTCTAAAAGAAAGCTTCACTTGAAGTTCATCATAGACAATTGGATATTTTAGGGCAACATAACCAGCTTTCAAAGACGAAAACAATATGTTGAAAATGTCAAGAAGATGTTGCTCATGGTAGTCCTTTGAGACAAAATCCAACAATAAAATTACCGTAAAATAGTGCAGGACTGTGTTAAAATCTAGGTTGAATTAGACAATTATATCAGAAAAATCAATAACAGATAGGCAGCTCAATGGTAAGGTTTTCATGTCAAAATAGTGTAGACAATTACAAAAGAGATCAAGCAAAATGAAGGCTAGAAACAACAGAAAAATGAGTTGAAAAAGTGCAAAAATTTAGCCATAAAATTAGTGTAGTAAAATTTACGAAAACTAGTTGTAATAGAAGTGCTTTAAAACATGAAAATAACAGCCTTTTAAAAGTAAAATTTTGGCCTGTTATATGTTTCATAGAAAAGCATGAAAATCAAAATGGATTTCATTGGGAAAATCAAGCTTATTAGTGCAGAACTACAACCACAAGACAAGCCAATTCATGGGGCGATTCAAAGCCAAATACTGGAGAGCTTAACACCAAATTTTATGTAGTAATTTAACCTAGAAAAAGCTCATTAACAAAAATAAACAGCAGAGCTTTAGGATTTAAATCGGAGTTCTTACCAAAGGAATTGCTAGCCCTAAACTGCAGGTCTTAGGAAGGTATCAAAACTTGAATTTGAGAGAATGAATACCAAAATTTTATGTCCAAAATTGACAGAATTAGGGCTAGAATTTGATATAAATGGTTGCCATAGTTCTCAATGGCCACCATACTAAAGATTCAATTAGGGGAAGAAGTAATCTAAAGTAAACATTAGGATATCTTACCAATTGATGACAAACCAAAGCAAAGACAAAGAGACGTTCCTACGTTATTTAAGAGGAGGGAGGTTGCTTTCTGCAAAGAGAATGGAAGTCATTTTGTATTTTAACCTATTTTATCATGTTTTTCAAAGTCCCTTAAAGTTCAATCTATAGCCATTAAACCCTCCATTTTTTTTAACCAAATTAGCCCAACACTAACTCTTGTCATTAAAACCCCTCAATTACTTAATAATTGTTCCACTTGAGTCTTTTTAATAATTAAACTAAAGCCAAAAAATTTTGCTATTACATCTACCCTTCCTTAAAAGGTGTTTAGTCCCCTAAACTCAAGTCTAGGGTCACAGAGTAGCAAATGATTCCCCACAATCTAAAATACAAATCGAGTGCTTTCCATATGACAAATAATCATGGAGGTAGGTTAGTTCAGAATCAATAACTTGAATAAGATTAGAACATAACCTCAAAGCAAATATATTTGGAAAACATCATGAAATAAAAACTTGAAACAAAATGGGTTTTGGGACCATGGTATGATGAGTAATGGGGTTATACAAGGGACAATTTTTGATTCTTTTTCTTGAATTTCCTTATCCATTTTTGACACGATGGTGTTCTTGCTAGTTCTCATTATCTACTTTTGATATGGTAAGAATTCTTACATTATTCTTGCTCACTATGCTTTTGAAATCTTATTTCTAAAACTTGATCCTTTTTGATAATCTACACTTGCTAGGATTTGTTACCTAAATATAAATTAATTGGAGGAATTCTTGAAAATTGTTGAAATTGCTTATTACTAGTAATCGTCACCCCTTCCAAGGAGGTGTCCACATGGAACTCAATATTGGGAAAATCAATAAGTATAGATATCTAGAAACAAGAACTAGTGTAGGATTTAGTTGGTATCAAACTAGTCACTTCTCGTAAATGTCAGCCCATTCTAAACGTCATTATTGGTGGTAATGTGGAGCCCATGTCACTTGAGGTAGATCTTTTGCATGTAGTAGCCCAATGTGCTTGAATCTGTTTATGATTAGGCTTATAATGAAGACATCAAGCATTTAAGTGAAGGAGATAGTAATGCCTAAATCGCACATCATGATGGAAGTATGAGTGTGATTCATATATTAGTGTGAAGGAAAATCTGAGCTTGAATGTAACAATGCTACAAAAAGATTCTAACCTTAACTGAGAACCCAACAAAGCTAGGTCTTAACAATGAAGCTTATTTAAGTTTAAGGCAAATTACAGACTTGGCAAAACTCAATGTTAAGCTTTCATACTTCATGTTAACATATAAGCTTTGCCTTAAACTTTTCTTTTTATAAGTTTAGTCATTCTTTTTCTGATGTTTTGCAATTAAGTCACTGTTTTGTGTGTTTTTCTTTCCTTTTTTTTTTTTTTTTGTCATTTTATTGTATTCTCCCTTGTGAATAAGTCATGAAACAAAATCATATAAACTAAACCATTAGTTCTACACCACTATGTGAGGGATTTTACTGTAAATTTATACTAAGGATTTTGTTCATTTTTTAACTATACAACTTTCAACAATTAAAGTGTTTTTCCTAAAAAATTAAAAAAAAATTATAGATGTTACTTTAGCTAAGTAATAATTTGAAAAAAGGAAATGGATTTTGGCTAGTATTGTAACATAACATTTTTAAGATCCATTTTACTAATTATCATAATATAGATGGTCAAGAACTCCAATTAAATTTGTAGAACAAAATATAATTAAATAATATGAAATTTGTTAAGGTATGCCTTACGAGCCAACTAGGTTGGAAAGATAATGTTATTTACTTGTAATTACGCTCATATAGTTATGGTATTTTTTATTGAACATTAACTATTATTCTTCTCTGTATATTGAATATCGATAAAGTTCTTAGGAGGTTTATTGTATCAAAAGGTAATAATAGTCATTTTTATTAGTGAGAACCATATGATGTGATAACAACAGTCTTAAATTGTCCAATAGTTAGATATATCATTAGGATGGGGTATCATTAGGATGGGATATCAATGATAAAAGACTATCATGTGTGATGTTTTACTAAGTGATAAGACTTCTTATGAAATCATGTATCACATATAGGTGACTCAAAGTGGGTGTACTTATCTAATCCACCATTAGAACTCTACATGCATATGTCATTAGTAGCTTATGATGCGAGTATAAGTGATCCTTTGACTTGAGATCATCATTATTCTATGGGATTTGTATACTTTGATACTATTAGAAACAACCACTTTAATGGGTTTGCAAGTAATGTAATGATTTGGTGCATCATGAATCACATGAAAGTAATATGCAAGTTAAGATGGGAGTCATCCCTCTTGAGTTTATGAGAGAAGATGTATTTGATCCTTCAATTGAGATGAGACTACTTACAAAGTCCATAACTGTAGTAGGAATGAAGGTTCATTCAAGAAATATGTCTATGTTGAGAATTAAAGAAAGATATATCAAGCGATGATAACACATAGCATACATCTTACTTGATAAAGATATTAGTGATGAAGGGATTGAATTACACAAGTATTGGTCATAGAAAGGTTTGTCGAAGCCATCAACTCCTCCTATCATTTTTGGAAGCCATAATGTTTGCTAGATATCACTTTTGATTTGTTTGTATTTCTTACTACCATTGTAATGAAAGTCTAGAGGGCTACACATTTCATCCATTCTTGGATTGACATTTTTATAAATCCAAGTTTGTGAATATAGATTAGTTTATGTAAAAATAGTATTTTTACAAAAGAAATAAATTAATCAAGATGCTGAATAAATTGGTGAAAAGAATTAATTTAATTTAATTAATTCAAGTTTAGATTTGTTTGAAGTTAAAGACATTAAAATCCAAGAGCGGCAATTAAGTCCTTGGAGGATTTTATGATTGAAACCCTAGCCCATTGGGCTTGGGCTTATGCAGCAAGAAGGGTTAGAGCCTTTGTTGAAAATCCCAATCCATATTAGACTATGGTGTACGGCAAGAGATGGAAAAATAGCCTTTCCTTCCAAATTTTTTATTTTAGCTTGAAGACTAAGTTTGACAATTCTAATTAGATTAGACTGGCAAGTCTTCTATTCCTATTAATATAAATAGGTGTAGAAAACCCTAAATCCTTGATGGAGGATTTTGCCACTATTGAATTTTAGCTACTAAAATTATTCTACCAAAACTCAAAGGAGAATAAAGTTGCTTTCTAATTGTTAACACCTTAAGAGACTTGATAATCTTTGAATCCCTTAGGGTACATGTAGATTACCACTAGAGGAATTCTACACTTAGATTCTTGGATGGCTTCATCAAAGGATAGTGGTCAGATTTATGCATCAATGAGGCACTCATCCTTTAAATATTGATCATAAATCCTTCCATAACTATTAATGGATTCACAAGTATCCTAGGTGGGTTCAAAGATGATAAGATTAATTTTTTTTAATTTTTTTCTTTTTTTATGCCTTTCTAAACCTAATTGATGATGTTACTAATGTATTTTTTGATGAATTGAATTCATTGTAAAGATTGAGTAGGTGTCTTTTTTGGATAAAGAGAAGCTTGTTGCTTGAGGATAGAGGTGCCTTGTGTTGTGGGTAGCAAAATGTAGGCTGCTACACCTAACTATGCAATAGGTTTAGTGGTTGCTTGTGTTGACACCTGATCGGGAGTTGTGCTGATATAGGTGCCAACACTAGAGTCATGCAACAAGTGTCAATATCACATTAAAGAAGTGGACACCACCATAAAAGCTCTTTGCCCACCATGAAGACTATGCAAGGGAGTCGTGTGCTCACAACACTACCCATGTGGAGGCCTAAGGTGTCGACATGATGCCAACATCTTTGCCTAGGAACAGTTGCTCAAGTCAAGCATGTGCAATGAGCATGCACAAGCTACTCATGTGAGGTAACTACAATAGCAGGACATGGTGTCGATAGCTGTAACTAGGAATTGAGATTGGGCCAGGACAGGCCTAGCGAGGCATGCACGTGAAGGCCTCATGCAAGCCTATTGTAGGCAACGACATAAGATGGTATCAATGCCAAAACTATTTTATAAAGTGAAAAAGTTAATATTTTTAAATTAAAAAAATACAAAGTTAATATTTTTATTTATACATCTTCTCATCATTTAATACAAATGCTAAGTGAAAGCACTTGCCTTGTAGGGAACAAAGTCAAATCTATAAAACAAAAAAAAAAAAAGTTTTAAAAGTTATTCATATTTTCATGATAGTCCTCCTTTACTCTTAAATTCATATATTCTTTTTTCACTATATATTTCATCTTCTATTGTGTTTCGATATTAATCTTTCCTCATACACTAAATATATAGACTTTTATCAAATAAACACTTATGGTAGCTGCACATTAATTTGTTTTTTAGGTCTTGCATATTTTATGTATCTTATATCAAGTTCTACTCAATTGTCTATGATGCTTGTTAAATAGGTCCATTTATTATGCTCGTATCATAACTTATTCTTTCACATTACAAACCAAGATGAAATTGCTTATATCATTAATTACTTTTAATTGCCAATGTGTGCTTGATTGGTTTTGTTGAAATCACAAGGAATTTGTAAAATTCAACTTAAGGTAGCTCACATCATCAAAGTAACAATTGCCAATAACTTTAATATTGCCTACACTTTATTCATCAGCATCAAACTTTCTAACATGTAATGTCATCTAGTAAAGGAAAATGGAAAGTTGGCCATTGAATCTCAAGTTGTTATATTGATAATTCAGATGGCTTTGTTATGCAAATGGATCGACATGATTTGTTTATTCTTATGATAGTGTAATTGTAATGACCTCAAGGGCTTCCTTTGCTTAAGTCTTCTCTTCTAGATGACCTGCAAAACCTTGAGGTTGATCCTCAGGGTAGACATTCCAATGCTCAAGTTAGTAATAATCGGGCATGTTAAAAAAAGAACAAAAGCTACACTTGAGATCAGTTCCAATTACGTTTGGGTAGGGACCCTTAGGGGTATTTATAGCCTTCAAAGAGATGCCCACGTGCCCTTCTCTATGAATAACTGAGATCATATGTGTCAATCATCATAGGAATTTCTCATACAAAGATTAAGCATGCACAAACTTACTATAACTCGAGTGTAGAAGGGACAAGCTCGAGCTGGATCATAACTCGATTATTAAAAGGTTTGAGCTCTAGATCAAGTTAGGAAGGTAAACGAGACTAAAGGGCTCATGAGCTCATGATGAGTCTCACATTACTCCCCCTTGAGCAGTCATTCACTTGTGAATGATGAGATTGAAATGGAGGTAAGAAAGGATTCAACTGGGGAGTGAGGTTTTGTAATAGGTAGTCAAGGTTGAGATGAAAATTTTATGACATGTGGTCATGTAATTTATGATTAGAGCCGAAGTGAAAATTTGATGACACGTGGTCATGTAATTTATGGTTAGAGCTGAAGTAAAAATTTTATGACACGCGGCCATTTAATTTATGGTTGAAGCTGAAGTAAAAATTTTATGACATGTGGTCATGTAATTTATGGCCGGAGCTCAAGTGAATATTTTATGATTGAGTGTAAATGAGTTCAAATGCAGAGTTAAAATAGTTGGATTAGGCTTAAATGGGCCTTTGTAATGTAATTGGGAATAGGTCAATATGTCAACTAACAATCGACTTTGGGTAACGTGCTGTAATAAATGAGCGAAGTTAGAAATAATCTTCGAATTCGAAAGGACATGATCCTTGTCATTGGATGAGAGTGATCCTAGCCGTTAGAGGTTATGGGGTCTTAACATAAATAAGGACACTTAGGGTGATTTTGGATTTACCTAGCTGCATTGTTATCGAAGTGATGTCAAACTTTCATCAAGCCATTTCGGTGTCTGAGGTTCGTGTTACCAAGCTTTTGTGTTCATAGGTCATCTGGTCTACTCCAAATTTGTTCCAAGTGTTGTAGTTTAGTGTTCACCGAGTTCAAATAACTTCATGAACTCTACCTTTGATTTAACTAAGGAATTTGATGTGCCTTTAACTCTTTCAAATAAGTTTAAGTCCACTTAGGGAAGTTATGGTTAGGTCAAAAGAGTAAGATAGAGCATGAGCTAGAATTTGCACAAGATCCTAACTATTCTCCACCACCCACTGCTTGTAATAAGAGCTACGAGACGGAAAGATGTCTTTTGAGTAGACTCTAAGTATTGGAGAAGGTGAAGAAGTGTAAACAATAGGTTAAAGTGAGAGTAATGTTGAGGTGGAGACCTCTAGAAGTGGGGGAAGTGAAGGAAGAGAAGAAGAAGTGGTGATACCATTTATAATCTTAAATGTTGATGGTGGGCGAGACAAATGTTTCGATGAAGCAGAAAAGATAATGGCTGAAGTGACGGGATACGAGGCCTTCTGAAAGAGTAGGAATAGCCTTATGCACTTGGTGGACAATTATGGTGTCCCATGTCATGTTTTGTTGAGGTCCACTAGAGACAAAGAATGAGCTTGGTCAACCTTTAAAGACCACTGGATGCCCTTGTATGCACACTACATGGTGGTCAGGCTTAGATTTCCCATTCCAAAGTTGCTAGTTGCATTATTGAAAGAATTTGGTTTAGGCATAACGCAGCTTGTCTTCAATGCAGTTTGGCTTGTGATAGGCTTTTTAGTGTATTGTCGAACTTGAGGTGTCGTCATCCCAAAGGTGAATCTGTTTAAGCATTTTTTTTTTCTTGATTAAAGGTGGGAGCAACAAGGAGATTGGGTGGTTTTACTTTACACCCCAAGTTGGTGGAAGACAAAGTAGAAATCTGTTCAATTTAGGTCCATCCTCCATCAAATGGTGGAAAGATAAATTCTTCTTTGCAGATGATATAGAGTGGGGAAGGACCAACATAGAGGTGGAGGCTTTGTGTAAGTGGAAGATGAAGAAGGCAAACCCAAAAAAGGATAAACTGAGTGAGGATAAGGAGGAAGAAGTGAAGAAGTTGATTAGGGTGGGTAAGGAGGTGGTGGATATTAACCATTTACTGAGTCTTGAAATGATTAATGCTGCTGAGATATATGGGAAGAGCTTGTTAAATGGAGGTGTGTTTTATTAATGTCTTTTTGTGAGTAATGCGTTTCTAATTAAAATTTAATTGTGTTTGGTTTTACAGAGGAGATGAATCACCTTCTTTCTGGTGTTGGGAACATCACTCTACTAAAGAAGTCTAGAGCTCTTGTGGTAGTTGAGGTAAAGGGGCGCACTAGGCCTGGCACCTTAGGCACTTGAGCTACAACAGTTGGTGCTCGAGTGGTGTAGGTCACCAGCCTTAGCATGGAGCCCACATGGAGGGGGATTGAGGAAGGGGTTGTTGCCTAGAAGAGAAAAAGGGTGGAAGAGTTGTAACAGCCACAACAGGAGGATATGCCCATCCAGTTCGTGCTTCATCGTACTCTAGTTGAAATCATCCGTCTCTACAAGAGGTGGGAGATGTGACCCCTGTGAGGGGGAAGAGTATTGTCCTGCTTCTAGTTTAGTGGTCTAGCTTTTTCGATTCCACCAGTAGGACCACTACTAAATGTTTCATCAACACCACCTTTCCTAAGGGGGATTTGAAACGAGCAAGAGATAAGATGGACGCCAATGGTGGGGTGGGGGTAGTTTGTCATGCCCTTGAGGTCTGAGTCCTGAAGCTTCAAAGGTCTTTTTTTTCTTTTTTTTAACTTCAGCATTTCATGTGTCTATGAACCTTGTAAATGCCCTGGTGAGTGAGTATTTAGACTGTCTCAAGAAACATAGTAAATTAGTTAAAGAGAATGATAAGCTTAGTAAGCAAAAGGAAACGACTAAGTAGAACTTCAATGACCTAACCTTTGAACTTGAGAAAATTTGGGGGGAATTGGCCACTACAAAGAAGGCAATTGAGCTTGTTGAGTGAAAAAGGAAAAGCTATGAAGATGAACTGTCTAAGTGGGACAATGAGTTGGCCAAGGTCCGAAAACAAGCTGAGCTGCAGGTCCACCATTCCTTGGAGTAGCACAACTCCAACTTCATTAAGTCAGGGACGTTCTCAAAGATCGTGGACCTCTATCGCCTCCCCACACTAGTGATGGCCTCAAGAGGAAAGGGTGGAGGAAAATGAGGGAAGTAAGATTGTCAAATTCTATCTTTGAGGTGACACTCAAGTAGGACTAGGATGACAATAGTCAAACTATCTTCCTTCCAAAGCTAAAGTATAAGTTCATCGCCATCGATGAGGCTGAGGTGTTAAGAGATGTTGAGGTGGCGGACAATGTCCAAAATGAAGAGGTGGACCAGCAGTACTAAATTATAGATTAGGTTGACCATGACCGCTTATTTTGAAATTTGTAATTCAAATCATTTGGAATTTTTATGAAATTTGATGTTTTTGTTTATATATTTGTTTTTATTTATTCAATATGTTTGATATATCCAAAGGAGACAAAACTTTTGATTTAATCCAAAGGAGGACTTTTACATGGATTAGGGCGAGATCTACTAAGGTTGTTTTTCCCTTCTTCTACTGGTGTAATTCCCCTAATTTATGTGTTCAAGAAATTATTAAAGCTTAGACTTATCATCCATACTATAGGTCCTCCTTACTGTTGTTGGAATATCTTCATAGGTGTTCCTTTTGTAATGCATACTTAAGTTTATGGGTGGAGTACCCCTTATACTCCTTACTATAATAAATCATTTTGATTCATCAAACATACACATATATATATATATATTTGATATATCGGTTATTCAATGTTTATTAACTTCAGACAAATAAAATCAGAGGTTGAATTGAATTAGGATATAGCAAATATAAAATAGTGAATTGAGGTCGAAGTTGTATTAAAATGAAGAACAGAATGAATGAATTAATGGCATTTCAAGGATAGAATTTCTTCAAATTGTTTACATTCCAAACTCTAGGAACTCTTTTGCCCTTAGCATCTTGAAGCACATAAGCACCGAGGTGAGGAATTTCAATCACGGTATAAGGACTTTCCCAGTTCAGAGCTAACTTGCCAAAATGAGTTTCGAAGCTTGTGAACCTTACTTTCCTCATATAACTAGGTCACCTACTTTGAAAGTTTGAGTTCAAACTTGTTTATTATAGAAGTTTGTCAACTTCTACTTATAAGATAACGTCCAAGGTCGAGCTTGCTCACAAACTTTGTCCAAGAAGTCGATATTCTCTTGAAGTAGTTGTTCATTTCATGCTACATCGAAATAACTAACTCTCAAGTTTGGGACTCTTATCTCGATAAGAATGACCACTTTAGTTCCAAAAGCCAAGTGGTAGGATGTCTCACTTAATTGTATGAATTAATATTTTAAAGCTCGCTTACGCGTTATGCATGTTTGATCTATAGCTTTGAATAAATCAAGAGGTCAAAATGAAAAAAGAATAAAGAAGAAATAACAAGTGGGGGTACTTGTGGTTGTTCAACTTGTAGTTTGGTAAACCCATAGGACATTGTTAAGCTTGTCCACCCATTTGGCTTTCAATTGGTCTAACCTTGGTTTGATCCCTTCTAAAATAAATTTATTGATAAAATCAACCATTCCATTTGCTTTTGGATGATAAATTCAAGGGAATGCCAACTTGGTCCCATAACTCGAGCAAAGTTTTCTAAATGAAATGCAGTTAAATTGAGCTCCATTGTCAATAACCATTTGATTTGGGATACTGCATCCACAAATGATGGAGTTGAAAAAAAAAATCTTCAATCTTCTTTGAAGTTAAGCTAGAAATAGATCAAGCCTCCACCCACTTCATAAAATAGTTGACAACAACAACCAAGTGTGTTACACCTCTAACAACTTTCACAAAAGGGCCTAAAAGATCCAGCCCCACATTGGACAAATGGCCATAAGGCAACCAAGCTTGTGAGCTCTTTTGCTAGTTAATGAGTCACATGTGCAAAGAATTAGCACTTCGGGCCTCTTTGAACAAATTTCTTAGCATCTTCCTACATATTAGGCCAATAGTATCCTGGCCTGAGTACCTTATGAGCCAAAGTTCAAGCTCCTACATGACTTTCCATATACACCCTCATGCACCTCTCGAAGGGCATACTCAACCTTGAAAGGTGTCAAACACCAAAAAAGAAGGAGTGAATATGACCCCTTGTACAAGATATCATCAATTAAAGTATACCGTGATGCCTTCATTCGTAGCCTCATCTCCTTTTGCTTATTGTCTTGAACTGAGCCATTTTGGAGGTAAGATTTTATGTGGTATATCTAACTTGGAGTCTCTGGAACTGTATTGATCTTTATCGACCTTTACCTTTGGAAGCTTGGCTCGTTAAAAACTTCAATATACACTAACCTCATCCCATTAGAAGTGTCAGAGACCAATTTTGACAAGAAGTATACTTGTTCGTTCTTTACTCTAGGTATCTTGGTCAGTTGAAACCTTTCAAACTAGCACCTAAACTTCGAAACCATAGCTCATATTTTGCTAGAATGGGATCTACCACCTCACATAAGGAGTTCACTTCATTTACTATAAGTTGAGAGTCACTGTAAATCTAAATAGCCTTAACCTTGAGCTTGGATGCTAATTAGAGTTTGAGAAGCAACGCCTCATGCTTGGCCATATTGTTTGTTACTTCAAAGTTTAACTTTAAGGTGTGCTCACTTCGGAAATCATTCGGGCTAATTGGAATTACCTTAGCACTTGATCCCTTGTTGCTGGATACTCCATCTTTGTACAAAGTCCACATTTTTGCCTCAAGAACTAAACTTGGTTGGTTGAATGTACATTCCACAATGAAGTCTGCCAATGCTTGAGCTTAGATTACAGACCTTTGTTGAAATGTAATGTCAAATTCACCTAGGTCGACCACCTATTTAATTAATCTACCGGAGCATTTTGGCTTCTGTAAAACTTGCCTCAATGGTTGGTTTGTAAGGACAATGATTGGATGAGACGGGAAATATCGCTAAAGTTTCCGAGCTGAAGTAACAACTATAAGAGTTGCTTTCTCAATGATTGAATATCTCTGCTTAGCTCCTTGTAATACTTTGTTGACATAATATAATGGCTTTTTTTGTTTTCTTACCTTCCAAATTGAAACAGAGCTTATTGCGTTGTTTGATATCCTAAGGTACAAGTAAAGAATCTCACCCTCTTTAGCCTTAGTGAACAAAGGTGGTGAACTAAAGTAATGTTTGAGTTCATCAATGGCTTTTTAGGCATTCTGAAGCCTACTCAGATTTCTTTGGCTCTCTAGCCTCATCTTTATGGACAATCGACCTCAAAACTTTGAAAAAAGGAAGGCATCTATTAGTTAATTTAGAAACAAATCTATGAAGGGTTGCCACTCATCTAGTCAGACACTACACATCTTTGATAGACTTTGAAGGCGCCATCTCCTTTATTGCCTTGATCTTCTTAAGGTTGACCTCTATCCCCCTTTAAGACATTCTAAACCCCAATAACTTACCATATTCAACACCAAAAACACACTTTGTGAGATTCAATCTCATCTTGTTCGTTCTTAAATTCTCAAATGTCTCTCCCAGGCCAGGCAGATGATCTTCTACGTTGAGACTTTTGACCACTATATCATATATGAAAACTTCCATTTTTCTGCCTATCTGAACATGGAATACTATTGTCACCATTTTCTAGTATGTAGCTCCTTCATTCTTGAGCCCAAAAAGCATCATTGCATAACAGTAAATCTCATTTCCTACATAGAACGAGGTCTTGACTTCATCTTTAAGCACCATGGGGACTTGGTGATAACCCGAGTATGCATCTAGAAGGCTTAACATCTCATTCCATGAAGTAGCTTTAATGAGCCTATCTATGTTTAGCATTGGGTAGCAATCTTTTGGACAAGTTTCATTAAGGTTGGTGTAGTCAATACACATCTTCCATTTACCATTTGACTTCACCGAAAATGGATTTGTAATCCACTCATAGTAATCCACGTTTCATATGAAGCTTGTTTGCAAAAAGCTTTTGCACTTCTTCTTAAATAACTAAGAGCCTTTCTCCACCAAAAAGGCGTCTCTTTTGAGCTACTAGCTTTTTCAAAGGGTTTGTGCTTAGCTTATGCATGGCAATTGAGGTTGGAACTCTTGCCATGTCAGTTGAGGTCCTTGTAAAAACATCTTTATTCACCTTGAGAAAGGTAACTAGCTCCTCCCTTCTTTTGGGCTCAACTTAGTCCCAATCTGGGTTTTCCTTATTAGATCCCTTTCATCAATCTACATCTCTTCCACTTCCTCGACCGAGGTGGCTTTAGACTAATTGTCAGGTTGATTATCAAGCAGCTCCACACCCATCACTTGTTGATTACTCAGAGTTTGAGGTTTTGACAAAGATGAAGGTCAATGTAGGCCGTCCTAGGACAATGTTAAAAGAGGACACCATCTTCACTACCAAAAATTAGACTAAAGGAGTAACATGTTCGACCTTTGTTGAATGCAACATTGAGCCTAAGCACCCCCTCAATTGGGATTGGCTAATTGTTAAATTTGTAAATAAGGCCATCATATTCTACAATAGAGCTTGGTCAAGGCCGACGTTCTCAAAGTAGTGATAAGACATGATATTAGGTGTACTCCCGTGTCAATAAGGACACGTTGAACTTTACAGTTATTGACTATGACAGAGGTGACTAGTGGATCATTATGGGGTGTGACGACACCATCAAGGCTTGCCAACTTGAAAGTTATGTGTTGATTCTTCCAATCGGCATCATCAAGCTTCCTCTTTTGAGCTTGGTTCTAATGTTTGACCTCCCTTACATACAGCCTCTGTTATTTAGAGCTTAGGCCCTTTGCATCAAGTCCTCTATTTATCATGTGAAGGACCAGTGTTGAAGGTGGTAGAGAGGGTAGGACTTGCTAAAAACCAACTCCTTCCTTGTTGCTTATACTACGAGGTCCTTAGGACTATTGTCCTTGTTCTCTTACGAACTTGAGTTGGTCTTTGTTTGGGATATACTCATTTAGCATTCCTTTTTAAGCTAGTTTCAAGTTCAGACTTCAAAATATTGAACTCCTCTATTATGTGACCGTGATCTTGGTGAAAGTCGTAGTATGTAGTGTGGTCTCGAGGGGTAATCAAGCTCTTCATTGGGGGGTCTTTTCAACTCCATCTTATTCTTGATTTGCATCAGAATCTGTGACCTTAGTAAAATGAATGGGGTCCACATAACCTATTTAGTGAGAGCCTATGAGGTACTTGAATTAGGTTTATCAACCTTAGGAATAGGCATTGGACCTTGGTTTTGTGCAACTTTCATTTTCCCCTTACATTGCATCTCCTCTTTCCAATTAGGGCTTCGACTTTCTCTATTGGACATTGACCTTCAAGACAAGGCATATTCTTCTATTATGATGAATTTTGAGATCTCTCATTGGCCTCGTCAAAAGTAATGGGTGGATGCTTAATCAAGTTATCTTGGAACCGTTCATGGTTAAGGTCTTGAATTATAGTAGTGATTCCCACTGTCCAGTCAAATGAGTTGATTTCGAGCATGGTGTCATTGAACCTATTCATGTAATTCTTTAGAGATTCACCTTTTTATTCAATAACTTGCATGAGCTCAGGTGTTGTCTTTTTTATCAATCTTCGACTAGAAAACTTAGTGGCAAAGTTTAGTGCCATCTCATCATATGAACTGATTGAGCTTGGCCGCAAACTATAGTACCAAGTTCGAGCTTACCACATAGTGTAAATGGGAATATTTTGCATATTAACGCATCTGAGGCATTCTAAGCCTACATGGTGGAGTAAAATGCGTGCAAGTGATCATCAGGATCTTTGGTTTCATCATATGTCTTGAATTGGGGCATTTTAAACCCAAGCAAGTGGGCTCTTGAAAGACGTTGGTGTTTAAAGGAGTAAGCATTGAGGTCGCATTGGGTTGAAGTGGTAACATACCTCGATGATTATCCATCATCTTTTCCAAGTTATCCAACCTGTTGAAAACATCCGAAGCAACTAGCTGAGGTGGATTCAGTTGTTGTGAAGTTGTGTGAGACTAGCCTTGTGACTCACTATGGGATAAAGCTACTTGTTGGACTTAAGAGTTAGCATTTTGCTACTATGGTTGCAGGTCAACCATTTGATGAGCTAGATTTAACAGATTAATAAGGGGGTTGCCACAGTTATCTTAGGCTAGCAACTATGCAAGTACAAGCTGAAACACGCCAAATTGTTGTTGCATGACATTAAGTTGAATGGCTATGGCCTCGTTAGGGATAATGGTTAGGTTTTGTGGATGATTCTTTCTTACTCCTTCCACATATTGCTCATGCTAGACATTACGGTTTGGTATCATCAACGGTACAGTATTTACATTAGGTAATTGACCTCTTCCTCGACCTTGAGGTGGGCTTCCATGTTGAGTCGAACATGTGTGAACCATGTCAAAGAACTATGCAAATAAAGCTTTTAGTTAAAATTCCTATAGATGGCGTCAAATGTAATTGCAACGACCTTAGAGGCTTCCTCAGCCTAAGTCTTCTCTTTTAGATGACCTGCAAAGCCTAAGTGGAATAAGTGTTAATAAGAACTATTTTGAATAATTTTATATTTATTTTCAAGATTAATGCGTATCAATCTCAATTTTCCAAAAAAATTAGAGTCTCAATTTACATTAGGAAACTAAAATCTCAATCTAAATTTTATAAATACACCTTATTAAATATTGATATGTAAATTTAGAAACTAATTATATTTTCTAATATAATTAGTTTCTAAATCTAAATACTAATATTTAATAAGATAGGTTTTCAAATTTTGAATTAAATTTTAATTAAATAAAATACATAATTTAAGGTTAGGACTTCAATTTATTTTAGAAGTTGAGACTGATATGCATTCTTTCCTTTATTTTTCTTTTTATTTTTTAATTTTTAATTTAAATTTGTGGTAAAAAAATAGTTTATTAAAAGAAATCTTTATTTATAATTTTTTGAAGTTTTGGTGGTTAATCGCAAAAACAAAAAAAAAAAAAGTTAAGAGTGATTTTTAAAATTTATATAAGTTTACATGCTAAATATTATATATGAATAATTTGTCTTAAAATAGAAATTATTTCATTTGCAAAACATATTTTAAAAAATTTTTATTTTTTATTGAGCATGAAAAGGAAAACCACTTTCCAGAAAATGAGAAGGAAATTGGAAAATGGAGAAAATTTTCTCTTACCGAACACACTTAGGTTCTCTCGTGATGGGTGTTACCAAATATGGAGTATATAATATATAATATATATAATAATTTAATTAGAAGTCTTTTTTTTTTATTATAGAAATTTAATAAAAAATTGAATATAATTGAACTTTACAGGGGTTTCACGCTCATGATAAGTTTTTTCTAGTCTATTAAGTATTTGTTTAAGATTTTTTGAGTATTTGTTTAGAATTTTATAGATATTTTAAGGAGTTTTATTAAAAATATTAAAAGACTCACTAAGTATTTATATAAAATTTATTGAAGATTTTAACCATGTTTATAATATAGTAAGATTACACATAAATTGAATTACCAAACATCCAATTTTCAAAAAGACAAAAAAAAAAAAAAAAAAAGGCACATCAACACTCGTCACTCTACATGCATAATATACAACTTGAACTCAAAATTTTTTACTTTTGTTAGATAAAGATTATCACTGAACTATGTAAATAATTGACTCTACATTTTTATATTTTGATCTTGAACTCTACATAAAAAGCCACTACTCTAAATTAAATTATATTACTATTACACTTATTAATTACTCTCTAGCATCCTAAAATAACTATAATTCTTTACTCAAAATTTGTCCTAAATTAATTATTATTTTATATTTTTTTAAGGTAGACAAATTAATTAAAATTTTAGATGAATCACCCAATTAATTAAAATCAAGCAAAGTAAAAATTATTAAGGGTATTTTTGGTTTTATAGACTCTAAACTGATTATTTTTTTGTACTAACCTTTTAGTATCCGATAACCATATTGGATTCCGACTAATCTGAAATCGAACTGTGTTGAACCCATTTGTGGGGAAAGTCTTGCAACGTCTGTTTCTCCATTCACAAGACTCAAACTTTAGATCTTGCTTAAGGAAAACAGAGCTCCTTTCACTTGGATTAACAGGTCATTTCTCTAAATTGATATTTTTAATTAAGTGTAAAGCGGAATCAAAATAATATTTCTAAAAATATTAATTGTGCATGTATTTTACTAAAAAAATTAATTTTACTAAAAAAATTAATTTTACATGTAATTTCAACCAATAAGAATGTCAAATGTGTCATTTTAATGTAATGTAAAAGTATACCAACGAGGGGTTGGATCAAGTGGCAAGCGACTTGTTCCAGTTTAAGCAAGGTCTCGAGTTCGAAACCTTGTGTACGCAGCAGCCTTCGTTGGGAGACCCACCCACCATTCTGGTGCGCCACAGCTGGTCGAGTCCGGAGTAGTCGGGGCGAAGTCCCGGATACCGGATGGGAAACCAAAAAAAAAAAAAGTATAGTAAAAAGAAAAGGCGTTCATGAACTATTTAAAATATATTTTGATAAGTGCCAATGATTTAAGTAACTTAGTGGTTATCTCCTTCCGCTGAAATAAGAAATTTTGAGTTCGAGTTGCATGGCATGCGAGTGGGATGAAATAAGGGATTAGAGATGATTGCTTTTTATTGTGCAACTAAAATAAAAAAAAAATATATATATATATATATTTTGATAAGTATATGAACCCATATCTTTACACATGTGATTTAGAGAGAGCTATGTCATCAATAGGGCCGTCAACGGACAGAGCAGTTTATGAGTAGCGAGTTAAACTTAAATTTAATTTTGAGTGCGACAAAAAAAAAAAAAAAAGTTTAAATTTGAGTTTCTATGATTACTTGTGAACTCCTCCATTTAGAAATAAAAATTTTATTATATATTTATTTATTACATTTAAATTTATAATAATTTGACAATTTAATATTGTTGAAAAAGTAATTTAAATAAGTTACATATTTTAAATTATAACTATTAATAAAAAAATGTTCAAATAGAGTTTATAGTTGTTTTTTTATTATTTGACTATGTTTAAACTTTTGGTACTATAATATTTTGAAAAATGTTAAAAAATTTATGGTTAAATAATTAGTTATTAAAACATTTTGAAATTATAGAGAAACAAAAAATCCAATTCAAATTAAAGTACTAATTGGCTCCTACTCGTGAGTAAACTCAAATTTGCTTAAATAGTCACGAATTTAAGTACAAGCTCTAACCATTTTGAGTTCTACAAATTCTCAAATTCAAAATTTTTAAATAAATTTAAGTATAAATACCTAAATACTTAACTCGACTTATTAATAGTCATCGTTATCAATTATTTTGGAAGAGCAAACCACGCAAGCACGAAGGATATAGATGGCCTCTGTTGTGTCACGTGACAACATTACTTTTGCAAAATCGTTAACTAGACATATGTACGGTAAATATGAACCAATGTAGGTGGTTTAAGAGTTTATGTGCTCCATCAAAAAACCAAAAAATAACAAAAAGAGTTTATGTGCATAAAAATTAGTTTAGGGGCTTACTCATGAATTCAGACATAGTCTAGGGGCTTAAAAATAGGTTTTGCCAGAAAATTAATTGCCTCTATTTTTAGCGTACATTAACATTTGTGGGCTGATTATGTATAAATGTATATAAAAATAAAGATATTTTAATTAGGCGCAAATGAATTGGTTTGATTTGTCATGGTTCATCATGATCAGCAGACTGTGGCAAACATTCCTCAGGGTTTGTATAGAAATAATCCTCTTCCTTCGGTTTTCCCGGAATGACCAATCTCTTAGTTGGATTTCCCATGCGATCTGAATGTGCTTCCTTCACTTCCGATGAGAATTCTTCCCAGCTGATGGCTCCAGCCCTATACAGATCGATTAAATCAACTAGAGCCTTCCGGTCCAGAAGGATTGTTTTCTTGAACTCCAAGAAACTGCAAAGTTATTGAAACCCAAATCAAATCCTAACCCAAGAATGGAAATTACTAAAATTAGTAATTATATTTTTTTTCTCTCTCCTTTTTTCTATAAAAAAAAAAAAAAATCAGTACTACCGTCTGTGACCCTCGACGACTTTGGCCATGTTTCCTCCATTTGTTGGAACAAAGATATCACTCTCTGCTGCCACATAATAATCTAGTGCTGCCATCTGGTTTGAATGGTTCCGGTACGGATCCAAGTCTTTGGCTGGCAATAAGGTCTCCTTTTTCACCTAAGTTTAATTTTTTATAAAACTAATTAATTTTTTTTTACTAATAAATCTTTGTTTAAAATAATTAGTGCTAGCTAGCTATGTCCCAATGGTTAATTAAGTGGATATACAGACAAAATTCATTTATACATAAATTTTATATATTATATTTATACAAAATCTTAATTATTTATTTTTCAATTTTAATAATTGAAATTAATAATTTATTCACTTTTTATTATATTTATTAAAGATAATTAAATATTTTTTATTTAAAAAGTTAAGATAAATTTTAACTATTAAAAATAAAAAAATAAATTATCAAGATTTTATATAAGTGTGATATATAAAATTTGTATATAAATAGATCATAACTTATATATAACAGTGAAGAGTTCACTAACCAAATTCGGATAAGCAGCTCTAAGAGTTGCTAATCTCCTTTCTCCCCCATAAATATCACCAGCAGCTATGTAAACTTGAATAGTAGGATCGATACCCAGAGCCTGCAATGTAAGTGCTGTTTCTTCAGGTGTTAAAGGGCACAAACCAGCTTGTCTTTTCTTCACCGAATCTATCACTTTTTCTTTCCACCAAGGATAGGCGTATCTGCTCCATCATACATGTTAATTTATAAATGGATAGAAATTAATGCCTTTTTCTACAATCTCTCCCCCAATTAGTTACTTAAAAACATCAGCATGAGATTAAAAATATATATATATATATAAGACTAAGTACTCTTAAAAAATTTGTGATTCAAGAAATT